GAGATGGATTTGGGATGTTGCCGGTGCATATGCTTGTGTTTGTGGAGGTGGCGTGTAAATGAGAGTTGATGCTAATGGCCTTTTGTTTCTCTGAGTGGAGAGATGATGTTGGCTGAAAATAATAAGGGCGCAGGTCGGGTGAGATCTGAAAAGAGTGGTGAAGATTCGGTGTAGCTGTCAATGGGAAGGGAAAAGAAAGTGCTTCAAGGAAGAGGAAAAGGATGGGTGAGAAGCATCTAGGGGACCAGCTGAGAATGGAAATGAGCACAGTCTCTGCTGTTGGGTCCGTGCAGTGCTGGGTTTGGCAGGTCAAGTATGAACAGCAGGGCAAGGAGAGAGATTGTTCAGGTGGTGGGGAAAGGGTACTGGAAGTGACGTAACAGGGTCTAGTATAATGGGAAAGGAAGTGAAATCTGGAGAGAATTGATGGTTGGGGGAAAAAAAAGATGAGGGTAAGGAGATCAAAGAGAAGCCCAAGAGCAGTTTGGGGTAAAGGAGAGGGTGGGAGGAGTGGAAGTGTGTGATCATCGTGTCGAAGGCTGGTATGTAAAAGTTAGAGATGGAGCAGCTCTCAGTAATGACCAGGCCCAGGTTGTGGGCAGAAGGCAAAGGCCACTGGGAATGGAGAGGCTGGAGTGTTGAATGGTTTTCCCTCATGAACATTAAAATTTCCCATTCTGATAGCAGGAGGTGGGCTGGAAAGCCAGGTGCAAAGATTTAAGGGATGAAAGGGAGGGACCAAGCAGTTGATAAATGGGATGATCCATGAAAAATTAAGCCCAAGTTCTGGCATATTTCTAAGCATTCAATAGATGTTGACCATCAATAATCAGATGACAGTAATGAGGAGGTGGTACTGCTGGATGGCCTGAATCCATGGGGAATTTATTTTTTTTCTTTTGAGTGTCAAATAACTCTTGTTTGGAAGATGAAAATGTGGAGATTGAAAACTCCCTACTGCTAAGTCCAGGATGTCGGGGCATGGGGAAAAACAGAGTGCTCAGGGAGAGCTGGTTTCAACTAAAACAAGAGGGTGATGGGAACAATCCATGAAGAAGCTGAGGCTGGGAATTTCTCTCTGCATGAGGATAGGTTCCTGAGGATTCAGAGGAAGCATGTGAAGGAGACCTTTAGCTGGAGGAGGATGAAGGAGAAGAGTAATGGTGAGTCACGTGAGGTTGAAGGTGCTGGCTTTAAACCTTATATAGCTATATGAGTTACCTAGGGCTGCCGTGACAAATTACCACACACTGGGTGGCTTAATACAACAGAAACTTTATTCCCTCACAGTTCTGGAGGCTAGAAATCTAAAATCAAGGTGTCAGCAGGGCCACGCTCTCTTTGCAGGCTCTAAAAGAGAATCTGTTCCATGCCTTTCTCTTAGCTTCTGCTGTTGGTGGTAATCCTTGGCCTTAATGCATGTCAGTCCAGTCTTTGCATTGGTAGTCACACGTGTGTCTCTGTCACTGTCTCTTCTCTTCTTATAAGGACACCAGTCATGTTGGATTAAAGGCCCACCATATCCCAGTATTTCCTCCCCTCAACTAGCTATACCTGTGATGGCCCTGTTTCTACATAAGGTTACATTCTGAGGTTCTGAGAAAGACACAAAGTTGGTGGGGGAGGTTATTCAACCCAATAAAAGAGGCTTCTAAAATGAATGGCAAATGGCTTCTGTCTTCAGGAAGATGTAGTTCCTGGTGTAGCTGGGGAACTAGCTACAGGAAACTTTCATGCAAATCAAACAGAATACCGTGGACACACGGAGGGTTGAGTGGCTGGTTGTGACAACAGGGCAGTTGCGGAAGGCTATAAGGTGGAGGCATAGGCAGGCCTGAAGATAACTGGGGTACCGGCAGGCACAAATGGGGAAGCTGGGCATTCTGGACTGTGGCGCAGAGATGTAGGTGTGTGCCCACTATGTGGGATGCTTGAGTTGTCTGGTGTGTGTGGCTAGAGGAGGGCATGGCCTTCGGGTACTGGTCCCATGTGTTGTGGTGGCCACTGAGAAGGGATGGAGAAGGGAGGAGGGATGAAGTGCAGATGGAGCCCAGGGGATGAAGGGAGGTGGAGCACAAGGGAGATAAGAAAGGTGATGGGAGCCCAGTCGTTCATCTCTGTGAATGGTGATCTTCAAGAGGTAGGTTAAGGGGAGAGTTCAAGCAGAGGCCGAATGACCATTCCTTAAGGGAGCTCTAGAGACATTGCTGGGCTCAGAGAAGCTGGACTGGATGACTCCTGTGCTCCCTCTCAGCTGTCAAGTTCTGTCACATTAGGTGGAAGTGTCTTTTCACTCATCACATCTTGCCTCTTTCACTGGCTACTCTGCTTTTTCTTCCTCCTTTCTCTCAAGTATTTTCCATGTGCCAGGCACCGAAGATACAACAGTGAGCAAGAAGACAAAGACGGCACCATTTTAATCACTTCCCTGTGGCATCAGCCCCAGGAGTACATAGTAAGGTCTCCGTAAATGTTGCTTTGAGTTGAATTCAGGTGAGGAAGAATGACAAGGCAGTTTTGCCCTGGGTAACAAGTTCTTCTTCAGAGTAGAAATGCTTTGAAGGACGATTTCAGGAACCTCCTTAGGAAGAGGTGGAGAGTGGGTGGCTGCTTACATGTGTTTGATTTCTGAGTCATCAGGAAGGCTCCTTTGCCTCCCAAGATAGCTCCTTCATCCAGGCTGTGAGTGCTTTTAATTCCACTACTAGAAGCCGGTTTCCCTCAGTTAAGATGCGAATGCCCTACGGAGAGAGGATATCCATTTACCCCCTTCAGTCTTTTGCCTCTTAACGTGGGACATTTTGTTCAGCCTTTTCTCATGACAGATTTTTAAGAAAAGCACATGGAGGGAAGCAGGGACCCAGGGCATGAATACTGGACATGCCAAAGGTAACCTTTGGCAGAGTCAACAGTTTGGATGAACTGACCCTGGAGATGTCCTCTGGCCTAGAAAAATCCATTATTATCTGTTTGCTGGTGTATGCTGGGCCAGAAATGATTATTTCTGTTGTAAGGTTTATGGCTACAAAACTGTCACTTGTTTTTTTTTAAACAGGCAACAAATCCCACTTCCTTCACCCTAACCTTAATGAAATAATTTATTGACAAGGCTCATATTTTATTGACATGTTTTATATGGTTTGTGTGTTCATTTGTCATGGAAGGCTAATGATAGCTATTGTCACAAATATCCCCCAAAATGTCAGTGGCTTATTTCAGAGATTTCTGTCTTCATTGACATCACAGTAGGGTTGAAGCTGATTTCGGAGGAGGGGAAGGAATACTGTGTAACTTTTCAGGGACCCAGGCCCCTTCCGTGCTGTACATCTTCCACCTTCAATAGTTGGACAAAAGCACATTTACTTTTAACTACCTCGGCTTGGAAGTGACACTCATTTCAGCTCACATTCCATTGGCCAGAACTAGGTCCAGAGACCCACCCAGATGGAGAGAGGCTGGGGTGTGTGGTTAGCTGTGCGCCCAGGACGGGGAAGCAGCCTTGGCGAGTCTGACACAGACTCATCAGAAAGCATTTGCACGTTTGCCTTCTGTCTGTGACATAATGGACCCTTGGGGGCTGACATTAAGTGTACTGGGGACAAGAGAGCATAGTGGTGACCTGGAAAGAGACCAGTGTTTAGAATTAAGTGAGAAGCCGTTCATTCTGCCTGGTGAAGGGCATCATCCTGCTGTTGGATTTTTGCTATGAAAGGGACACCGAGAGAAGTCTTGATTCAAAGAAATGTCTCTGTATTTTCCTGTTGATTTGCTTTTAAATGGAAGGAGGAAAAGTTAATGGAAAGCTCCTTTCCTTACACCTGAAGTCACTTTGAAACAGGAGGTTTGAGGTCTTGAATGGTACAGCTTCTGCACTGCGTTTCAGAGGGCATTAGTGTTGGAGAAGACGTGGAGATCCTCCAGTCCACCTCCCGCATTGTCTGGGCAAGGAAACTGAGAATAACTGAATTGGCCAAATTCACATAGCTAGTTAGTGGCTTACCTGAGTGTCAGACCCCATTTTCCAGATGTCTAGACTGGCCTCCCTGCCCCTCCTACAGTGTTGCTCCCTAGAGAACTACTATTTGGACCTGGCCTGGTAGGACAGGCAGAGAGGAGGCTTGACCAGGTAAAACCAGAGCTTCTAGCTCTGAGATTCCTTGACTGATTGTGATTAAGCACATGGTGTCTGATTGTACAATCCCTGGCCTGACAGAAGTGATGTAGCCTTCCAAACATTGGTAACTTTCCTGAGAAAACAGAATCTCAGTTCTTTATTTTCCTCATCTATTTCTTTAATCTATTTTTAGCTTAAAAAAACTTTTTTAAACCTGTTTTTTCTAATTATAAAGGTAACAACTTTAATTATAGAAATTAAGTAAATCTATGTAAGTGTAACAAGACTATATACAAATATAACAAAAAATTGCCTGCAATTCCATAACTTGGCAATGGAGCAATGATCACTGTTCATGTTTTACATGCCTTTCCATGTGTGTTTCCTGACCCTTTTTCAACACAGAAATATTTGTATGTTTATGCACAGTATAATAAGAATGAAATATGCAATATGAAATAAATGTGCAACTCTTAAGATATTTCATATTACTTAATATGAAATATTACACAACTGTTAATATTGTCTTAAAATGAGTAGTGATATGGAAAAATGCTCATATATACTTGTATGCTTATATGCAATACAATTAGAATTCAAATTTTGTCTGTCTTACTTGCTTTTTAAAGGTAGTAGGAAAAAGCCAATGAAAATCTCCCTTCCATACACCTTGGAATAAAATTCTAATTATGTTGTGCATAAGGATACAAATATATATGAGCATTTCTCTATATCATGACTTATTTTGAAACAAATTTTAAAGAGTTGCATAATATTGCATCTCGTGGAATACATGGTGCCGAAGGAGGCAGCCAGGGTGGGTGGAGGGAAGGCGTCATCAGTATCTTCGGTTCTTGGCCCTGACCCTGAGCTCCTCTTCTCCCAGGGCATCAGCAGTCTGTTCAGCTCTCTGAAAGTTGTCCGGCTGCTCCGTCTGGGGCGGGTGGCCCGGAAGCTGGACCACTACATCGAATACGGAGCTGCCGTGCTGGTCCTGCTGGTGTGTGTGTTCGGGCTGGCTGCTCACTGGATGGCCTGCATTTGGTACAGCATCGGGGACTATGAGATCTTTGATGAGGACACCAAGACCATCCGCAACAACAGCTGGCTCTACCAGCTGGCGATGGACATTGGCACCCCTTACCAGTTTAATGGGTCCGGCTCAGGGAAGTGGGAAGGTGGTCCCAGCAAGAATTCCGTCTACATCTCCTCGTTGTATTTCACCATGACCAGCCTCACCAGCGTGGGCTTTGGGAACATCGCTCCATCCACGGACATCGAGAAGATCTTTGCCGTGGCCATCATGATGATTGGCTGTAAGTATGACGCGGGCTGGGGCTGGGGTAAGGGGCAGGCGGCATCATGTTTGTCCATCCTTTCTATTAGCTGGAAATAGGGCAATGACTACAGTGCAGGCAGGATCAGGTGTGTTATAGCTTAAAACAAGGGAGAGATTTTTTTTAAAAGACTAGTTTCATAGTTTTCCTGGTAATTGAAGTGGTACATATTTACTGCAGAGAAATTTAGAAAATACAAAAGAGCACAAAGTAGAAAATGAAGACCAACTGTAATTCCACTTCTTAGGGAGATAACTACTATTGCTTTTTGGTGTTTCCCTTACAGATTGTTTTCTTTCCATATCTGAATATATAGATACAGATTTTTATGAAGTTAAGAGGAGGTGATGCTATACATACAACTTGGTAAACTGCTTGCTCACTGAAGAGTGAATCGTGGAAGCCTTTGTGTCAGTTTAGACATAGCTCTAGACCTGCACAGTCCAATATGGTACCAGAAAAAGAATGCATGAAAACAAAGTCTGAAATATCTCATGAATAATCTTTTATATTGATTATGTTTAGAAATAGTAATATTTTTGATATTGTGGGTTAAGTAAAATATTCTATTACAACTGTTATGTTTCCTTTTGCTTTTTTAATGTGGTTCCCAGGAAGATTTTAAATCTTCTTACTTTTGGGCAGTCCTGACCTAGATCAACATTTCTGATGTCTGCTTGGTGACTGAGAGGTTTTTCAAGTCCCCCCTCCACCCCAGAAAACCCACAGGTTAAAAAAAAAGGGCTCTTGTTCAGTTGAGAAGTAATGGGGTTTTGGATTAACTTGACTGAAAAACAGAGACAACCCTAGTTTTTGAGGAAGGTACAGTTGGCCCTCTGTATTCATGAATTCTATATTTTTGGATTCAGCCAACCATGGATTGAAAATATTTTTTAAAAAAATTCCAGAAAGTTCCAAAAATTTGCATTTGCTGCATGCCAGCTACTATTTATAGTATTTACATAGTATTTACAACTATTTACATACTACTTACATTGTATTAGGTATTATAAGTAATCTAAAGATCACTTAACTGTATTGGAGGATGTGCTGTAGGTTATATGCAAATGCTTTGCCAATTTATATAAAGGACTTAAGCACTGTGGACCTTGGTATCTGTGGGGGATCCTTGGAGCCCATTGCCTGAGGGCACAGGGATGCCTACTTAAATTTCAAGCACTTAGCACTGATTATTGTGTAGCTGTTGCTGTTGCCAGGTCTGGGAACAACAATGAACTCCCTTCACTAAAGGGAGCCCTAGGGAGGACTAGGCCTCACTGGGCTCGGGGAAGCACATGAGCTTGAATGGACTGGACTCATCGAGAACCTGCCAAATGCACCCTGTTGGTGCCTTAATGACACACTGTGACATGGGAGAGGACAGTCCTGTTGAAGCATCGGCCTGGACAGTAGTCTGGGCACACGCGGTGAAGCTGGGCTCTGCTCCCAGCGGGCAGAAGCAGTTCGGCTTGACGTGCTCCTTCAGGGTGGAGTTGACACATTGATTGTTACACCAGCGAGGGGATTCTGAGACCAGGGAAACTGAGGCTTCAGTTTGTCTTGCTTTGTCCCATCTGTCCAGGATCCGGCGTCCTCCTCTGCAAGTGGGTTTTGTCACCACCGATTTTCCTGTTCGCTGCTTGCCTCCTCCTTTTTCGGCAACCACCTGATTGTGTCTGATGCAGTATTTTCGTAAAAGCTTGCCTCTGAGTGTTTACTGAATGTGTCTAAGGCGTAATTGATTTGTGGAAAGTGTGTGTGGTGGAGCTTTTGGGTCTGCTCCTTTCTTTAAAATGAGTTTTAATAGAGATGATTGCCTGACCCTGGGAAGCAGAATTAAGTATCTGTGGGTGGTTAATTGCTTTAGCTTAATTAGAACTTGAGGTGCTTTCTCATGTCATGTAACAGGATTTAAGACCTTTGCTCTTCTAGAACGATTTCAGCCTTAACATCTGCAGTTTTCTAGGCAGTGCTCATGGCATTTTCAGAGCCCTGGGGCACCAGTAAACAACCAGATGCCCCATACTCAGGGCACGATTTCTGTCTCTTAGAGGGAAATGAGACACTCTGTCAATCAAAATATCCCATTATATGCATTACAGAAAATTTGCCAAGAGTGGTCAGTTAGCAAATGGGCTCCATTTCATGAGCTCCCTGAAGGCTTTTGAGTATGAGACTTCCTTGCAACTTTTTATCTGGAAGAAAAGAAAAAAGAAAACAGCCCTGGTGGCGTATAAGTATAAGCAAGTTTGTTTTTTTTTAAACCATTCTCTACAGAGAGCAGAATTTCCCAGGTATAGTCTCCAAGGAAAACCCAAACAATTATCACCTCTTTTCTTTCCCCACCTTTCCAAAGCTTTGTGATGTTTCCATTTCTCTTTTAAATAGTATAATACCGAGGTGATCACCCTGCGTTATGCAGCCAGCTATGATGCTTTGGTCGGCAAGTCTGCTGAACAGTTTTCTGAACACTTGTTATTTGCCAAGGGCTGTGCTAAGAGCTCTGCGCACAGTGCACAGTTTCTACTATCTGCAACAGCTCTGTGCCTTAGGGGTTATTATCTCCATCTTACAGGGAAATGGAAATTCAGAGACGTTAAGTCCTTTCCCGAGAATGCAGGGCTGGTAAGAAGGAGGGATAGGATTCGTGTCCAGGACTCTGAAATTAAATGCCCGGCTCTCCCCACGGTACCCACCTGCAGTGGCTTCACCTGAGATCACGGATTCCATCAGCCTCTCCTCACTGATACACTCACACTTGGAAAATTCTTTCCACAAACTTTAACAAGCTGGCAATTTCTGCAGTGGAAAGTTTTTGTATGCTCGCCTGTTGTTGTTGTTTTAATTTAAGAACAAGTTTATGGTACAGACTCAAGGGACCAGGTGCTTCGGAAACCAACCATTTTTTTTTTTTTTGGCAACCTGTCACTTACAGTTACAGCTGTTCCCCCTTCTATGTGACACGTCTGACAGCTTCCTGTGCTAACAGCCAAGTTGTTGCACCGTGTAATGCGGTGGTAATTATCCTTGTAAACTCACGTTCCGAACAACCTTTGTTCAGGACAGCTGCTGATGTCTTGTTAGATTTACGGGGTTCTCTCTTACCTTGCTTTGCCTGTGTGTGCCCGTGTGCGTGCTTGACGCCCTGACTACATGGCTCACGGGATTGGATGACCCTAGAATTGGGATCTCTGGTGACAGGGAGCTTTGACCACAGCCTGAGTTTATGCCAAGGGGTCAATGCCCCTTCCTCCCCGGGCACCCCCGCCGTCAGGCCAGCGTTCCTCAAGGAGTGCAGAAGTCACAAAGCCAGCGGGCTTTGAAGTACTGTTTACAGTGTGGTTTTTTTTTCTTTAATCCCTCTTTGCATTGGATTTTACATATATTGGTAAAAGTATTTCTTGGCTATTCTGTTGCAGTGTTTTCACCATAATATTGATTATCCAGAAGCCTTCTGTTGCTTCTCCTCTCTATTCTTGGTCACTGAATATCTTATTATAACTTGGCTAATTCCCTAGAGAATGCCAGGAAGCAGGAAAACTAAGTATTTTCAAGTTTGCCCGCCTTTGTCTGTTCTTTGTGTGTGTGTGTGTATATATATATATATATATATATGTATGTATATACACACTTTTTTATTGAAGTACAGTTTACAATGTGTCAATTTCTGGTGTACAGCACACTGCTTCAGTCCTACATGAACATACATACGTTCATTTTCATATTCTTTTTCACAGTAAGTTACTACAAGATATTGAATATAATTCCCTGTGCTAT